TCTATCTATCTATCTATCTATCTATCTATCTATCTATCTATCTATCTGGAGATCTATCAAATGATTATCTTAGCTTAAAGACCCAATTATTATTGATTATTAATAATTATTAATCATAATTAAAGCATCAGTTTATCCTTGTGGAAAAAGTTTTTTTCCACACATTTTCAAAGCACATATAAATATCTTAGAATACCATATATGGCTCTACATCTAGAAGTTTGTTAGCTTGTTAGTTTGTTGCCATAAGCCCCGGAAATAAGACCAAAATGAGCCAGGCCCTCATTACAGATATCTTTTTTTTCTCTTACAATTACAATATTGCTGATTAATCTCGATACCAAAAACTTGACTTGGAGAATAAGCATACAAACACTACCCAACAAGTTGTCCTCCATAAAACCCACTCCAGTGTGCTAAACCAAGCTGTCTAACATCAAACATGAGGCGGGGTTGCGACATACAGCGCACTTGTTCCATCCAAAATGTAAAATACTTACATCCTCTGAGGCTAATAGATGGTATATTGTTTCTTTAATCTGCACATAAAACAAAATTTATGGTAATGTGCGAGTCTGGTGGTCAAGTGATTTCCCAGTGCTTTTTATTTGTGCTTAGCTAAGCCTCATCTGGCTCTGCCTTCACGAATGAGTGGGAAATTTCGAGTGTTATCTTTGGGGAAAAGCATTAAAAACGGTTTGTTATTGAAGCTCAACGGTGGAAAAATAAAAGCTCTGTTCTTTGCCAGCAGTAGTCTCACATCTCAAACAGTCTTGTTTGGAATTGGGGAACTTGTGGTTTGTCGCCTTCAGACCGATCCATCTGCGGCAACACAAACTCTTCTGTTCGTTCCCCAGAAATGTGTTTACGCACGCTGAATCTCTGACCGGCCTGGAAATGCCGCCGCAAACCTGGCAGTGTTGTTATTTTAATTTGTCTTTACTGAGCTAGAACTGACACGTTTTTTTTTTTTTTTTTTTTTTTTTTTTTCTTAAACAGAGTTCCAAGTTGTCAACTCAGCAGCAGCAGTCAGCAGAAGAAAAAACCGGCCCTGCTCCGAGCCGCCGGTAGATGGAAACCTTGAGTGGAGCCAGGCCCAGGAGCTGTGCTGAGGTAATGGCTCTCTGGTCTTTTGTTCCCTGTATTCATCTCCACTCTCCACCCTCTCCTTGCCTTCGAGTCTAAACTCCCCCTCACGGACTTCAAAGGAAAAAAGAAGGAGCTGGAAAATAAGGTGAATTAATTTGCCCCTTTAATACCGTGCCTACATGTTGCAGCGGATACGGTTTTTAATTGCTTGTGCAAAAACACATAACCTATTTTTGAATCTTGTACAAAAAGCCCGAATGATGATTCAGGTAAAAATTTATGCAAATGCGGGAGGCATTGACAGAATATTCAAGTGACCTCGCGTGACTAAAAAAGCACCTTGGAAACAAGCGGCCTGCCTCAGGAGAAGAAAAAGAAAAAGAAAAAAGCCGCAGAAAAAGTTGGGCTCGGCCAGCGTGGGGCTTAATAAGATCTGGCACCCCGCGCCGCAGATTCTGACAGACATTCCTCGGCATCTTTAACCCTCAACCCAGAAGCCCCGGCGCAGTCTCAACTCGGCGAAGTAGATCAATGGGAGGATTATCGCAGGACCAAGATGCCAGTTATGGAGCAGCTCCGCTCTGCCTCGGCGAGGGGAGAAGATTGAGAGGCTTTCCTTTGATCTTGCGCTGGTGCTTCCAAGAGGGCCCCGCTGCTGATGATAATGATGCCGAGGCCCCGATGCAGAGAGCCCCAAGGCTGGGGCTCAGGCCCCCACTCCCAGACTGGTGAAATAAAATAAAAGACCGGTCTGAGGAGGCTCGAAACGGGACAAACGGATTTAATCTGTGGATTCATGTGAATTCGTCCCAACAAATGTTTTTGTTTTGTTTGTTTTTTTTGGGTCCCTGAAAAGGAATTATACTGATGCAGCAGTGGTGGAAATGTGTGCTCTTGTGTGTGTGTGTGTGTGTGTGTGTGTGTGTGTGTGTGTGTGTGCTCCAGTTGTTTCTTCCATCACATTAGATCCAGCTGAACACCTCTGTCCTCTTTCAAGGACACCCCTCCCTTCCCGCATGTCTCCGTCCCTCAACTTCTCTCTCTGTCTCTCTCTGACACACACACACACACATGCACACACACACAGGCGCGCGTGCACACACACACACACGAGACTTCACACACTCCCTCATTCTCTGTGACAGGCGGCGGTGCTGAAGATGGCTGCTGACATTCTGGACAGTAAAAGGCTTAAGGTGGAGCGTGTGTGTGTGTGTGTGTGTTTTTTGTGTGTCTGAAAGACAGATAGGGGAAGCTTTGCAATTCTTCCTCCCGCTGTATCTGCGCGTCTGATCGTACACAGAATCTCTAACAATGCTCCGGCTGCTGCTCTCGTCTCGCCGACTCCTTTCCCCCGCGCCGTTTGACCGGTGGCCAAAGGTTGATGATTAGGATGATAGGATGTGCGGCGGGTAATCGCTTAATTAGTGCTAAGTGGGAATTAGATTAGGCTTTTTTGTTGATTTCAGAAACAGCTCTGGTTAACCAGATTAGCCGAGTGCGGATTAGGGCTGAGCGGATGAGGTTAGAAGGCTGACATGTCGGCTCCAGGTTCCATCCACGCTAACCAGCTATCTGATTGGCTGTCAGTCAGGTTTGGCGGGAGGTGTCGGGATGGCCCACTGGTTGCCGAGCGGGGACAGCCGAGTGCCATAGGCTGGAGGGGGAGACAGTTTGATGAGTTTGCGAGGACAACTTTTAATTGCTTCTGCGCGTGTGTTATGATCTCAGACAAACTCGGGACCCCAGAGCCCATCTCACACCTCCTTCACACGTATAGTCTCGCTCTGCTCTCTCCCTGGCGCTCTGTCATTTCTTTACTCTCTCCCGTTTCTTGCTCGTCCCTTCGCTCCTAAAGAGCTTTTCTGTTCAACTGACCTCCTGTCCACTTCATTTGGCGGGCCCCCGCTAAGAAGACTCTGCCTCCGCTCTCTTTCTCCCTTTACCTTGCCTTCCTTCCTTCTTTTCCCACCGTCTTCGCTCTCCCTCCCTGTCTCTCATCATCATCCTCGCCACCTTACCTCCCTCGCCCCCCCCCCCCCTCCCCCCACCGTCTATTCAGCGGCCCAGCGTGGGTGGCTGAGTTTAATGAATTCTCTTTTCTCTCTGCAGCCAGGCGCTGATTTCTGATTGTGAAGAGGTGTGCGGGTGCGTGTTAGGAGTGTGTGCTCGTGTGCGACAGAGTCGAGGTAGGGAAACACACATTTTTCTCAACCCGTTCTCACGGCCATGACGGCGATCGTTTCGAAAAGTCTAAATAAATCTGGGCCTTTGTCCTGATCAAGGCTTCAGGCTGCACTTCCTCTTTCTTCGAGGAGGAGGTCACCGGCTGTCAACTTTAAAATAGATTTGCCCCGGGATGTGTCTCTTGTTGCTGTGAACATTACCTGCCATCTCCCGCAGCCGTGAAACATGAGTCAAAAGACTGTTTTGTGCTCGCCCCGTTATGCTTAGCAAACACAAAAGCAAACGACTCGGAGAAGAAGTGCCACAGACGAGACACAGAACGGCTATACGCTCATCACTGAAGAAAATTCACAAAATTCGTTCTATACGACGCTAATCCTCAAGAAAAGCTGTCTAAGGACACTACTCAGACAAAGCGAACAAGGTCTCTTCAAGTCCAATTAAACTGAATCCAATCAGAATCCAATTTGTTGTAACATAATCAAATCCAAATTAAGCCCCGATTCAGAAATACAATCTTATAATAACAGTTCGTGAAATGAGCTTGAGCTGTCGAGCTAGGGAAACCAACAGATGACAGGCACTCTTCAAGTCATTTCAGTACTCAAGCCTAATTAGGCTGTTTACTGGCTCTAAAACCATAATCCTATGAGTCTAGTTCTTGCAGATGTAATAAGCGAGAGTTGTCAACAGGACATAGTGGTCATCCATCCATATTTGACCATCGGTCCAAGCATTTTACATATACAAGCTGCACAAAGAACACTAAAATAAACCAAAACCTGTCTTATTTAGGTGCATCGGAATGTCTGGCACATTGTAATCTTCACACACTGGGGGTCTACCTTTGTTTTATTTAAGTTTCTTGTGTCTATAAAAAGCTGAAATGTCTTAATCAGCATTGGAAGATCCAATGGTGGTTGGTACGAAGACTGGAAATAGAAGGTCTTACATCTACCCTCATACCAATACGGTATATAATACACACTTTTTGCTGTTTGACTGGGTAACTAATTGTATTCACAGGTTGTGGGACTTATTCAATGTTCCCAACCTACTGTGTTTTAGTCATTTACCAGAAAAGGCTTTCCCTATTATTAACCCATTTTAAATTGTCGATAATTTAGCAAAAGCAGCGACACTTAAGTGTTATGCCCATCTCCATTCAGTGAGTTTGACCCAACTCGTTCACCCCTTTATCTGAACAGCAAGACAGAAACACCTGATCTGGCCCACTGTCCTCAGTCATGTTGGAGAACAGGTTTTCCAGAAGATTAGGAACGCTGTGTAATGTTTTTTCCTGTTTTGTTTTGAGGTTTGATGTTACATGTTTTGTGCTCCTGTTATCCTCAAAGATATAAAGCTAATAAAATATGAGATAGGAAACAAGAACTTTACCAGTAGTTTCTAACCAATGCAACAAAACTAATAACAATGTTTTAAGAAGGAGTTTTTTTTATCAGAAACCATTTGAAAGAATAAGTAACAACAGCGTTATACATAGAGAGAGACGATGATACAATAGCTTCAGTTAACTGTTGAACACTCACTTAAACACAGTTTTATGACTAATTACAAGGTATGGAAAGAGCCCTATTATCAATAAAGAAGGTAAGGCAATATTCTGGAAAAAGTATACCATAAAAAAGTGTTGGCCTTCTATATTCCATCATGAAAGTAAGTAGACAACATGACTTCTGTGCCCAGATGCATTCATGGTATTATCAATTGACTCTATTCACTGTGACCAAATCACAATATTACCATATGTATGTATGGCAATACCCCAGAAGACCCTTAAATAGCAAAAGAGCCCCTTCAAAAAAATGCTGACAACATTAATCTATCAAAACACGTTTCCTCCAACCTCCACGTTCTCTTCTTCATTAAACTAAAACCTCAGAGAAGTGGCCGATGGTTGAGCTGTGTACCTGTGAACCTAATGGGTATTAAACGGGAACCTTTGGGGTGAAAACGTGGCCGAGCTTTGCTTGAAGAAAGCTCTTTCCAAGCAAATGGGAGAAGTAGGGTTCTGTAAACTGGGTTGTGTTCCCCTCTCTTTTTAATGCCAAAAAACAAGACTTCAAAGGGGATGAAACAATCCTCCCTCGAAATTTGAGCTGCGACTCTGAAAGTGGATCATCTCCACATCTGTGTAAGGTCACCGGCGGGGAGCGGGCGCCGCCGCCGCCGCCGCCGCCTCTGTCCTCCCTGCTGATTGGACAGATGGATTAGCTGCTTAACGAGGCGAGTTTGTTTAATCTGCTGATTGTCTCGCCGATGAAAACATATTCAGTAATTCTCCGTGGCCTGTGTTTTTTCGCTCCCCCTGATTAAAGACACTCTCATTCTGGCGCGCTCACAGAAATAATGGAACAGTTGTTGTTATGACCAGGAGACAATGCTCTGAGGTACGCTGCCACACACACACACACACAAACACCACACCTAAACACAGAGAAACACACACACACACCGTCCCCTGTGTGTGTGTGTGTGTCTGTGTGTGTACACCCCCCTCCTCCCCCTCGTGGTATGGTAATGAGCTGCTAATCTCCCTGGTTTACACAGCCAGAATATGTGTGTGTGTGTGTGTGTCTGTTTGTGTGTGTATTAAGGTGCAGTGAGGAAAAGCCTGAGGAATTCTCTTAGGCTGTCAACCTTCTGCTCTCACTTGGGCGCAGGCTGTCAACACATTAAACAGCAGAATCCGTGTGTGTGTTCGAGTGTGTGCGGCCCAGGGAGGGAAACAGAAAGTGAAAACTCGACAAAAACACACTGTACGGAAAAGAGGAACCGACAGAAAGAGAGGAAATGAGGGTGGAGATGGAGAGCGACCGTGTGGGATCAGTCAGGATTTGTTTATTCCCCGTGTAAAAGTGGGCCTCCTTCATCAGATCAGTACATCCTGACTCTCTTGAC